CTGCTTTGTCTCTCCCTGGTTTAAATATCAACACCACATTTGTACCACAGGAAAAAACTGGAAGGGTGTCTTATTACTATCACTGATTTGTTCTTCGAAAGTTTGATAGAATTCACTTGTGAATATATTTGGTCTTGGAGAGTTTTTTGAGAGTTCATTTATGGCTTGTTCATTTTCTTTTTTTGATACTGGTTTATCTAAATACCTTGTATTTTCTTTTGCTAATCTGGGTAGTTTATATTTTTGTAAGTATTCATCTATTTCTTTAAATTATAGTTTTGTTAGCATATAATTGAGCAAAATTTATTTTTTATTTAAAACAAGTTTACTGATATTGTTTGTTTTTTACATTACCTTCATTTCCCAGTATACTCTAGCCTGAGCCATTTCTCAAAAGAATTTTTTTTAAGAGGGGGGGAAGAAGTTCTGTAAAACTACCCAACACATCAAGTGAATCTGATAGTATCTGTGCTGTGTCATATGCATAGTCCATCATCTCTTCAAAGGCAAGAGGGACGTGTAGCCCACTCGGCCATTTACTACTTTTTTGAGACCGTAAGCAACTTAGTTAACCTCTCTAAGACAAGTAGTTTGACCTACAGTTCATTCCAGCTACTATGATTTTAAGGGAGATGGATATAAAACATGACTGGATAGGGAGGTTAAAACCAAATTGTGGAGGTTCTAGAACAAGAATGACACCTGGTACCTGGGCAATTACTTGGCCTAAAGCCCTTTCCCAATAACCTCCTGGAGGATTTTTTGTAAATAACCAGTTATCCTTTCTCTTGTAGCACTCACAGCAAAATTAATTCTAACAAAGCTAATCTCTTTCTCCATAAACACTATGAAAATCCCCCTTTGTTCTTTTCCTTTTCTTGCCAGTTACCTCAGAGCCATCCCTCTCCCTCTTATCCATTTTGTGGATTCAAAAATAACCTTAAATGTAGTTCCCACTAACGTCCTATTCTAATGCTTCACTACAGCATGTGGATAATCCTGGGTTCTCAGGTAAGCCCAAACTCTGGAAGGTCCTTCCTGCCAGTTGGAAAAGCTTGAAGTATAGGTTGAAAAGAGCCTTCATGTCTATGTGGGAAAATTGGCCTGAGCTAAGGTCAGAAAGCCTCATTATCAGGTTGGCCACACAGTGATAGGTTTAAGCTACAATAACTCTCAAAGACTATCTACTTAAGAGAGCTGAGATCGAACAGCGGAAGAAATACCTGCACAGACAAAATCATGGCTTTTAGGGCATTTAAGAAATCATGTAAAAAAAAATGATAGTGTATGCTTGTCTTTTAAAAAAAGGACACATTTTTAAATGAAATTAGATCTACTAAAGAGTAAAAACCATAAATTTCTAGTCTTTGCAAGTACCCAAAAGTCCCTTACAAATCTCCACAAAAATCCTCATCTTCTTAGCCTGCCTTTTAATTCAACCTGCTTTTCCTCAAGCACCAATACCAAGATGAAAAAAACCATTTTTTTAATTTGTTGTTTAACAATATTGAAACTATTGTTTTCTTTTTTTTTTCTTTGCAAAAAATGTTTCAGCTTTTGCAGTCCTAGAAGCTTACATATAGCAATCTTTTCCTAGGTCCGAACATGTTAACGTATAGGTGATATACCTACTTGCTTGCAAGAAGGAGACATCTGTATAAGATATTATCTTTGCTATAGTGTGTATAATACATCTTTAGAAGCAGTATATAAAATCTGTGGAGGTTTGAATGATTTTTTCTTATATTAGTGCCTGATTTATATTAGTACTTGGTCTGATAAGTTTTTACTTGGTTTTGCTTTAGTGTTGGTAGACGTAAGGTTTGGTCTAACTGGATTAAATCAAAAGCACTGAAATTTATTTCCAAAGTTCAAAGAATCAATTACTAAACACACTCATTTAATTTGAGACATATGTGTATATGGATATGTGTAGTAATATAGTATATTTTTAGATATAGCTGCATACATGTTTTTTAAATTAATCAACTGTCTTTAACTTATGTTATAAAATGTTTTCCTAAAATTTTGGTCTGTTAAAAAAAAGTTTATTACCATTTCTTAAGAATTTAAAAACATGTGATAAACCCAAAGATCTGAGCTTTTGGAACAAAAACCCACTATTTGACAAAAACTGCTAGGAAAACTGGAAAATAGTATAGCATAAACTAAGCATAGACCAACATCTTACACCCTATAACAAAATAAAGTCAAAATGGGTACACAATTTAGATGTAAAGGCTAATACTATAAGCAAACTGGGAGAGCAAGAAATAGTTCACCTGTCAGATTTATGGAGAACAGAAGAATTTATGACCAAACAAGAGATAGAGAACATTATGAAATGCAAAATGGTAATTTTGATTACATTAAATTGGAAAGTTTTTACACACACAAAGCCAAAGCAACTAAGATTAGGAGGGAAGCATAAAACTGGGAAAGGATTTTTACAACCAGTGTCTCTGATAATGGACTCATTTCTAAAATATATAGAGAACTTCATCAAATTTATAAGAATACAAGTCATTCCCCAATTGATAAATGGTCAAAGGATATGAATAGGCAGTTTTCAGAGGAAGAAATTAAAGCTAGCTATAGTCATATGAAAAAATGCTCTAAATCATTATTGATTAGAGAAATGCAAATCAAAACAACTCTGAGGTACCACATCACAACTATCACAGGAAAATGATAAATGTTGCAGAAGATATGGGAAAATTGGGACACTGATGCATTGTTGGTGGAGTTGTGAACTGATTCAACCACTTTGGAGAGCAATTTGGAACTATGCCCAAAGGGCTATAAAAATGTGCATACCCTTTGACCCAACAATACCACTTCTAGGGCTGTAGCCTACAGAGATCATAAAAATGGGAAAAGGACCCACATGTACAAAAATATTTATAGCAGCTCTTTCTGTGGTGGCAAAGAATTGGAAATCGAGGGGATGCCCATCAATTGGGGAATGGCTGAACAAGCTATGGTATATGAATATAATCAAATACTATTGCGCTATAAGAAATGATGAGCAAGCAGACTTTAGAAAAACCTGGAAAGACTTGTATGTTCTGATGCTGAGTAAAGTGAGAAGAACCAGGAGAACATTGTACATAGTAATAGCCCACATTATGCGATGACTAACTTTGATAGATTTGGCTCTTCTCAGTAATGCAAGGATCTGAGACATCTCCAAAAGTCTTATGATGGAAAATGCTATCCAGATCCAGAGAAAGAACTATGGAGTCTGAATGCAGATCAAAGTATACTATTAGCTCTTTTTTTTTTCCTTCTGTTTTGTTTTGGTTCTTCTTTCTTGTGGTTCCTCCTATTGGTTCTAATTCTTCTCTACAACACAACTAATGTGAAAATGTATATGTAGAGCCTATATCAGATTGCATGCCATCTTGGGGGGGGAGGAGGGAAGGAAGGAAGGGAGACGGAGAAAATTTAAAACTCAAAAGCTTATGGAAATAAATATTGAAAACTAAAAATAATAATTTTTTTTGTTGCTTTTTTTTGGTGAGGCAATTGGGGTTAAGTGACTTGCCCAGGGTCACACAGTTATGTCTGAGGTCTGATTTTGAACTCAGGTCCTCCTGATTTCAAGGCTGGAGCTCTATCTACCGCACCACCTAGCTGCCCCAAAAATAAATTAATTTTTTAGAAAAGAATTTTAAAACATGGCAAATAAGTTTTCTTTTCCTTCCTTACTAAAAACAATAATATTACACCTATCAATTAAATAGTATGACTTAAAAAGGAGGTGTACTGTAGTGCACAGTGCTAGATTTAGAGTTAGGAAAATGTGAGTTCAAATTCCAAATCAGAATCAGATATATACAGAGAGATATACATGCTTATTGCTATTGTTCAATTGTTTCATTTATATCTGATTCTTCATGACCTCATTTGGGGTTTTCTTGGCAAAGGTATTGCAGTGGTTTGCCATTTCCTCCTCCAGCTCATTTTACAAGTGAGGAAACTGGGGCAGACAGGGTTAAGTGACTTGCCCAGGGTCACATAACTATTAAGTGTCTGAAGCCATATTTCAATTCAGGTCTTTCCGACTCCAGGCCTGGCACTTTATCCACTGTGCCACCAGCATGTAGATATATTCAAACTCCATTTCAGCGATAGATATAAATATACACATGTCTATTGATATATAAACTGTAAGCCTTGGGAAAAATACTTAACCTCACTTTCCTCTTCCATGAAATGGTGATGATAATAACAGCACCTACCTCAAAAGGTTGTTATGAAGTTAATACGAAAATTGCTTTGCAAACCTTACAGAGTTATAAAAATATCAGCTGAGAGCAGCTAGGTAGTGCAAATGATAGAGTGCAGAGCCTGATGTCAGGAAGACTCATCTTCCTGAGTTCAAATCTGGCCTCAGACACTTCCTAGCTGTGTGATCCTGAGCAAGTCAATTTAATCCTGTTTGCCTCGGTTCCTCATTTGTAAACTGAGCTGGAGAAGGAAATAGCAAACAACTCCAGTATCTCTGCCACAAAAACCCCAAATGGGGTCAAGAAGAGTTGGACCCAACTGAAAATGACTGAACAACACTTACACTGTGAGTTTCCATTAGATTGTGAGCTCCCTGAGGACAAGAACTGTCTTTTCACTCTTTTTGTATCCCCAGCACTTAGCACAGTGTCTGGCACATATAATGCTTAATAAATGTTTACAGACTATCATGCTCTATTTGAGGTTGTACTTTAAAAATTGAGTCAAATTATAATGACTAGGCAAGATCTACAGAAACAAAGTGAAGTGGGGTATTGAAGTAAATGTCTTCATGATTAATAGGTACAGGTGAAGAAATAATACTTCCACTGCCTAGATGTTTCAAATGTGAGTAGTTTTGATATGAATCATCTGACACTGAAATGTCATTTTATATACTAGAGAAGTAAAGTTCTGGATGGTGCCTCAATAGACTGAAAAATTTAATTACAAACGTCAAATGTAGAGCGAAGAAAGAGTTTACTTACCTTTGAGGATCTATAACATCATATTGCAGTAAACTGGATCTGAATTTCCTGTATAAATGAATCAATCAATTAATAGATACTTACTGACCACCTACTATATGCAAAGCACTGTAGAAAGCTAGGTAGAGCTATGGATAGAACACAGGACTTGGAGTCACAAAGTTCTGAGTTCAAATCCTTCCCCAGACACTTACTAGCTGTATGAGCTTAGTTAATCTCTCTATGCCTTAGTTTCCCCACCTGTAAAAGGGGATAAAGATAGTACCTACCTTGCAGGGTCATTATGAAGATGACAACATAGGTACAGCACTTTAAACCATCAAAATGCTCTACAGATACAAATAATATTAATTATTGTTGTTACTATTATTATCATTACACTCAGCTTTATGGAACAAATTCATACAAGACTAGGCCTTGGAGCTTAGAGGAGAACTGAAACATTTATCTATGAATGAATATACTACAAAGTAGTATCACAATGCCAAATGAGTAGTAGACTATGCACGTCATGAAACACAGGACTAATTGGCCCAAGCAGCATGTCTATAAAGTGGTATCTTACTGGTGCTCTGACAATCCTGTTTCCCAAAGTAATGTGAAAAATTCGCACTTAAGCATTAAATATAAGAAACATCTTATGAGAAACACATAAATAACTGAGTCAATGGGTATCATGCTCAAAGAAAGTCAAAACCTATTTTCTTGGAATCTGGGAAATAGACTTTTGTCTGGTTAACTGAACACTAAATAAAATATAAACTGCAGCTTATCATCAAATGAATATAATGCTCTGGGAGAGCTGTCTGATTTACAGAGAAAGTAAATTTTCATTTTTGAAAAGAAACCAAAGGGAGTTTTGTTTCCTAAAAGTGGATCATACTCCAACTGACACTGTATTTGTTGAAATATCCACTTTTGGACTTTCCCATAGCAAGTCTAGAGTTTACAATCTGAATCATTTTGTGTACTATGCACTTTACTATTCCTCTACTCTTATCCATTGATGCATTAAATAAGGGATACTTATTTTGGCAATTTCCCAAAGCTCTCTTTGCTATAGTAAGGACCTAAAAGAGTACTAAAGAGCAAGTAAAAGTGTGATGAATAACCCCTCCTCCCTATTCCTCTGTAATGCACTTGCATATTATGAATAGATATGAGCAATCATATATGTGTTAAATGCTTGTCAACCACTTAGTTATGAGGCAGAAGGTCACATAGATTAGAATCAAAAGTGGAATGGAAAGATGGGAGAGTTTTTAACAAAGAAAGAAATGGCTGTGACAGAAGAAACCTAAGGGGAAGGAACTGGTACCCAAAAGTAATGAATGTATCAGTGTAGGAGCTGAAATTCCATTTAATCCAATTCAATAGCATCTACTATACCATGGTATAGTATGGCAGGAGGAAAGAACTAATAACTGAGATGATCAAGAAAGGCCCAATGTAGGAAGTAGTACTTGAGCTGTGCTTTGAAGGGAGCTAAGTATTCCAAGAGTCAGGTAAGAAGTGAAATCATTATAATCATGGCAGCCAGCCTGTTCAAAGTCACAGAGGCAGAGATGAAATATTGTACACAATCTAAGTGGGTCACTTTCATTGGAAAGTAGTATGAGGGAAAAAATGTGTTGTGATCAACCCTGAGAGAGTGATTGGAGTCATTGTAAAGGTTAGTAAATACTAAACAGAGGAATTTTATCCCAGAATAGAGAACCATTGAAGCTTCTTGTCCAAAAGGATGGGATGGTCAGATCAACCTAGCAGCTGTGTGGAGGGTTCACTTAAAAAGGGAGACTGGAAGCAAGGGGACCACTTTGGAAGCTATTGCAATGATCGAGGCCAGAGGTGATGAGAGCCTCAAGGTGGCTATGTATTCAGAAAAAAAGGGATAGATACAAGAAGAGCTTTAGAATAAAAATCAGAAGGATTTGACAACTGACTGGATAAGGAGAATGAAGAGCTGAGGATAACTCTGAGGTTGTGAACTTAGATTATTGGAAGAATGGTGGTGCAATTACAGAAGTTGGGAAGTTTGAAAAGAAGTGTATTTGTCAGGGAAAGATAACGAGTTCTGTTTTGAACATTTTGATGCCTATGGGACATTCAGTTAAAAATGTTCAGCAGACATCTAAGAAAGAACTTTCTCCTCTGTCATTTCTTATAGCACAATAGTATTCCATCACAATCCTATACCACAACTTGTTCAGCCATTCCTCAACTGATGAGCAACCTGAGTCTCAGTTTCCAATTCTTTGCTACCACAAAAAAAGCTGCTAAAAATATTTAGGTAACTATGGGTCCTTTTCCTTTTCTTTTGATCTTCTTGGGGCATAGACCCCAAACAGCAATCCTGGGTCAAAGGGTATACACAGTTTGGAATATTTTTTCATATGATTATTGATATCTTTGATTTCTTCCTGTGAAAACTTCCTGTTCATAACCTTTGACCATTTATCAATTGGGAAATGGCTCTTATTTTTATAAATTTGGCTCAGTTCCATAGATGTTTGGGAAATGACACCTTAATCAGAAAAATTTGCCATACAATTTTTTTCTAGTTTCCTGCTTTCCTTCTAATTTTGGTTGCACTGGTTTTGTTTGCACAAAAACTTTTAAATGTTATGTAATCAAAATTATCTATTTTATCTCCTGTGAACCCATTTATCTTGTTTGGTCATGAACTCTTCACCTAGCCATACATCTGACATAATTTTTTTTCCTTGCTCCTCTAATTTGCTTACAATATCACCCTTTATGTGTAAATCACATTCACATTTTGAGCTTATCTTGGTATATGGTATGAGATACTAGTCTCTGCCTAGTTTCTGACAGACTACTCTCCAATTTTCCCAGCAGTTTTTGTCAACTACTGAGTTCTTGTAGAGCAAGGGTTGTGCTATAAGGTTTTGTGTCAATAGCTCATGAAGGATGGTAAAGCCTATGGATCGCTTCTCTAAGAATAGTGTTTTTAAATGGAAAAAATGCATGATTAGAAAGGAAACTAAATGAATTATACTGAAATACAGTTATCAAATGTTATGGCTAGGATTCTATTCTTTGTGCATGTGCAATACACCCAGGGCACAGTAAAAATCCAGATTCTAGGTTGAAGCAGATTAGGTCTCCCTGGCTTCTTTTAGCTGAAACTAGTATGGCTGCAGATGGGGGTGGGGTTCCCCCATGAAGGTTTTCCCCTTTCTATCTCAATGTCTTTGATAATTCATTGGTCTTCACTGTTTCACGTCAATGTTATTGAATGTGTTATTATTTGTGCCCCTACCTTTATTTCAATGGTCCTGAATACTAGTCCACACAGGTAAGGATACAAACAACAAAATACTCAAAAACATCTAGATAAAAGAATGAAAAATCATAGAGCAATGAAAAAATAAGATAACAGCAGTTCTAAAACAAGACAAACCTCTCTATTATTTAGTCTGGTAAGGAATGCTTGAGTATGTCAGACTAAAACAATGTTAACTAAGCAATGTCTCAGGAAGACCTAACTGTAGCAAGGGACTGTAAACTGGGGTTTCCTTGAAATTCTGACTGCACATACTGCTGTCAGGGCCATCAGCACAGGCATGTGTCTGATACTTTCTGCTCTTCCCTGTCACACTACATGTCCCCCCTGAGTCATAATCTGACTGTAATTGAGGAACTATAGCCTCCTATTTGAGCCCTGACTTTCATTTCTGGACTTACCACCTTTACCATAAGAGCCCAGTGACCACTGCAGCTCTTCTCTCTCCAATTTCTCCTCTAGTTCCTATTCGTTATCGTAAACCAAACAGGCTCAGAGGACATACCTTGTCTTCCCTGTCCTAATCCAATCTCTTTATGACCATCTCCATCAATATTTTCTCAAAATAGTAACTTTCATCCCAATTTTTTCCCCAGTGAGTGTAGACACTTGCCTCTAAGATGGACTGTGGCAAATTTTGAAATTTACAAGTGAAACGACAATGAAATTTTTAAAAGATTAGCAAAGAGTGAACTAGAGAACAGTACTTCTTATTCCCTTTGAAAAGGAATTGAAAAGTGAGGTTGCTTTCTACCACTAAAGGATTAGAAAATTAGCTGAAGAAGAACTAAGAAAATCATAAGGGAACTACTGACCCACAGGAAGGCCAAGGTCTTCAATTTAATTCCATCTGACCCAGAGGGCGATGTCCTAAGATACTATTATCCGCATTGGGTAGATAAGGCCTCTGGATTTCTGAGATGTCAAAAAGCATGCCCATGGGTCACTAAGCCAGTAAGGGTTTGAGGTACAATGGGATGAACCTCACTCTACTAACTCCACATCCAGCACTCTTTCCCCCACAATACTCTGCCTCTCCATTTACATTTATACTTGTTAAAAATACAACACAACTTTGATCAGCCTTAACCATGGCCTAAAAGGACACAGGATTAAGATGAATCTTCGTGAAAGTCCATCTGTAGCTCCAGCGTTTCTCTTCTGATGCTCCGTATGTGCTTCTCTGGGTTATTGGAGATTTATGTTTCAGTTTCTTATTCAGCACCTGTCTCTTTGTTTGTTCCCTCTGTGACCTCTCAGTCTTTTTCAGTATTTCTGAGTATACATTTGTCTCTTTAGTCTGTCTCTTTCCTTCATTTCTCCTTTTTTCTCCCTCTTTTGACTGGTCACAATATAGAACCGTAGTATAGTTTGGTAAATGGGGTTATTTTAAGAGATGTTCACCATTTTTAATTTATACAGAGTTAAATGGAACATTTTGTATTTATTTTTATTAAAAAAAAAACCCTAAAATCACCTTAAGTTGTTTTTTTACTTATTTCTGTATATGGGATTTTCAACAGAAACAAGGTTTCCAATCCTATCCTTAGGAGAATGTAAGTCATGTACTAGAAAAACTCTGTACTGGATCATAATACTAGTCTGCTACTAATGAGCTGGATAACCTTGGACAACTTATTTAACTTCTCTGAGCTTCAGTTTCTTCATCTATACAATTAATTGTTGGACTGATTAAAGTAATACATGAGCAGTGTAGTGTAGTGGAAA